GCCATGACATCATCATCTGGGCTTTCCCAAATAGTTTGAAGGATCTTAGTGGATGTAAACTTCTGACTATGAAGAAAGTCATAAACATTCTCTCTCTCATTATTCTGGTGTTTAGCAGATAGAACTAATGTTGGTGATCCTGACTGAGCTGAAACAGGAAACGTTTGGTCTGATTTAATGTCCGACAGAGAAGTAAAAGGTTTTGTGTCTTTTTATACGGTGGATGTAAACGTCTGGTTTCAACGATATATTTGCAGATCTTTGGCTTCAACTTGTTCACTCATGATGACATTTCAGTTCACAGAGGCTCCAGTGACGTATCCGAGTAACAACCCATCGTGTCCAGAATGCAGCGTCTGGTGGGAGCAAAGCTTTTTCTTTCAGCCAAGTCTCATGTCAGACATAGAGCATCATGCTGGAAGCACGCGTCTATACAATAGACCAGCAGCAGACAAATGTCGTATGCAAATGTACACCCACAGAAACAGGAATTCAGTAGAAAGTGAGAGCACGCATCGCATGTTTGTGGCTTCTCACTGTCATCTCTCATTCTGGCTTTTCTGAACTTTATCTTATCAGAAGAAACCCATTAAAGTCTGTTCCTGTTTGTCAAAGTGACAAACGCCTTACTCACAGCGCGCCGCTATCAAAGTGCTGCGATGGCTCGTATTTGATTTCGGCTTCCCACAATCAACATCTTTCTGCAGCAATTTGTCAGAAAAGTATTTCCTGTTTGGATATTGCAGATATTGCAATTGGCCACAATACAGTGTGGAAAGTTGTAGATTTCTCATACTGGTACTACTATGAATGTGTGGGTTTACTACTCACATAGTCCCGTTTCTCAAAACACGCATCCCAGTCACAATCACGCTCTGACATGAATTAGTAGAAACTCTTGTTTTCAAATTTTCAGATGAAACAACCGACTTTAAGACGCCGTCTGAAGTTCTGTACAGACTCGTTTTTCACGTTTCCAGCCCAGCAGACCGCCGCAGGAGAGCGACAGGAATATGAGGAATTAAACCAGATCAGATCTAATGTTGGTAATGGAGCTAAAAACCACAACAAGTGACAACCACAGCTGTAATCAGCGCCCACACACTGGACTTCAGAGATAAAAGCCTTCACTAGACTCTGCTGCTGCTTCCTGAGCTTCCAGCTGTTTAAAGCCTTCAGACAATAACGTGAAGCTCGTATGAGGATCATCACATCTTCTTTTCAAGGTCAGTTATGAATTCATCTAAATTTCAGACATGATTTTCTTCCATGTCTGACTGTTCTAAGTGCCTTTCCAGCTCTGCTCATGTTGTTCTGTCCCAGTCAAACAGAACCCAAACTTGTGTCATCACATGAAGCAGAACTTCAGACCCGGTCAGACCACGGGGCATCTTCACCAGCTTGTTTCATCTGTTCCTCGACTCCTCACATATGTGGAAGTGAAGCTGCATCTTTCTCTGCTCTGCATGCTCCTACCTGCTGTACAGACGCTGCAGAGATGATTCTAGAAAAACAGCAGCTGATGGTGTGTGTTCACATGTTAACATCAAATTCTGCCACAGCTTTTGAAAACGGTGTTTTTGCACCGTGTTGAACACCAGAGCAGGACGGCTGAACCTCCCCACACCCAGAACCGGACAGCACCAGCACCGTCATTACGAACGCTGCTGTTTCTAATGAGGGAATCCTTCTCTGCTCGGACTGGTTTCACTCTAACTGCACCTTTCATGGGGCGACGCCCGTCAACCCAAAAGCAATATGCTCCGTGTTCTGGTGCCGCCTGATCTGATCCGTTCACGGTGCACAAACTGATTGCTCCTCATCAGCAGCCTGGTGTGCACGTTGAGCTGCCGATGGAACCGACTGAAGCTGTGAGCGGCTGCAGCTCCATCATGTTCCTGTTCAACAGGCACACGTTGGTACCGCCGGGTCTGGAGCGGGTCAAACCGGCAGCTGCAGAGTCACCTCCTCACTGTCATTCAGGACAGTGACAGAAAAGACTTTTGCAGCAACATCAGAAAAACTAAGTGGAAAAATACCAGGTGGTTTAATTGGGTAAGAAAAAAGCGAGTTACTCATTACCTAAGACAACACAGGAGGAAGCAGAGAGCTGACATTTAACTGATTTTCACAATGTGCTGAGGAGGTGACATTTGAACATAAAGTTTCACAGCAGCAGGAGCCGTTTACCTCCTCAGACCCAGTTCAGATGTTTGCAGAGAAGATGACAACAGCTTTCACCGAAGATGCAGTCCATCTGTCCAGCACTTTATAAAGCACCACAACAACACATGACACAGACGAGACAAACCAGGACCGACGTCTGGGCCGTATGAGCCCGGTTCTAAGTGCTGATGGGCACATATGAGTCATCGCAGATGGAAGTGTGTGTCTGTGTGTGTCTGTGTGTGGAAAGTGTGGTTAATGTGACATTTTACCTGCGTGTTTGTTTTGCTGGCCAGATGAGAAATGACTAAAGCAGCAGCAGAACGTGAGCTTCAAAGCTTTTCTTACTTGAGCTGAGCACGGCGCCCGAAAAATTAGCAGCAGCCGGCCTGAAAATCTATTTCATTTGCTATAAAGCTCATTTATTACTAATTAATGTGTTACTTATTGCTTTACTATACTGCTCATTTATTACTAATTAATTTATTAGGATAAGATAAGATCAGCCTTTATTTATCTCACAGTGGAGAAATTCACATTGTTGTAGCAGCTTTACACACAGAGACAGAAAATGTACATATAAATATAAGAAATAGTGCAAACAGAGTACGAGAATGGGCTTCTGTATGGGGACACATAAAAAACATATATATATTTATAAAAGATAAGGAATAAATATATAATAATAATAATAATAATTAGCAGTGCAAATGCTTACTGCTGTACTATACTGCTCATTTATGACTAATAAATCATTTATTACCAATTAATGATTTATTACTAATTATGGAGCACATCAAGCTACAGTGCAGCAAAAACTGCAAGAAATGTGACTTTGCTGCGATCAAATGAGGTTCATGTCACATGATGTTAGCGTGTGATCCAACATACGAGCACATCTGTTGCTGCGCTGCATGTTTTTTATGATTTCGTAATTCGAGCATTTCATTTAAATAAACAACACATTTGTAGACACTGGGATGCTTCTCGATCATTTCAAACAAAGCGGCTCTACGAGCATCCGACCAAACTGAAAACAGCTCCACCGAAGAGCCGCTTCAAACCTCAGACAAGCAAGAAACTAGAGAAGCAGGTCAGAAAAGATCATTCTGCCTAAAATTTAGTGCATTTATGGGGAGCTCCAAGCGTCATGTTAACAGCTCACACACACGTATACCTATATATATATATATATATATATATATATATATATATATATATATATATATATATATATATATATATATATATATATTGATATATATATATATAAACATATAGGTATGGAAAGCATTAACAGATGCATGTTTTGTAAAATATGTTACTTGATCTTCATGTAATTCACTTTGGGGAAATGAGGAAGTTTTGAATTTCCCCCAGAAAGAACAGAAGCGTTTCTGTTGTGATGAGTTTTGGTGCCACCAGCCCGGCTCTGCTCTCAGCAGAACTTCTGCTCAGTAACTTTAAAAACGGTTCATTTCACAGCATGGACATCAGCATGATAACTGTCAGCTTCATCACTTTGGGAAATTTTGTGAGAGCAAATCTTCAAACTTGTCAAAAATCTGCTGCTGAAATTTAGCCCAAAGACAATCCCCCACGCGCCTCACACTGCTGGTCCGAGTCCTACAGGTCCGGATCAGAAGCTTTCACAGCATCACAAGCTGATGTGTGGATCCTTCAGCAACACAAAGCCTGCTGTGTTCTCCTACGTCTGTATGTTCTGCTCATAAACCTTCAGAGATCCACACATGGCTGCTCTCACTGAACACACGCTGCAGGTCAACACATCCAGAGCTGTTTCAGTACTTCTGTTCAGGTCACTCTGGATCTGGAGTTCTGCTGTAAAACAGTGAGTTCTTACCGTGGCACCGTGAGCAGAACCTCCCGTTGGCCTCAGTCTTCCTTTTCTCAGATTCTTCAGGGGAGACGCTTTGAAATGATTCAGAGAGAGAGTTATTCCACAGGAAATCTGGTTTTCAGCGAATAAAGCTTGACGAGAGGTGACAGACAGACCTCGCTCTGAGGAAGGCTGCACTTGTTTTTGGAAATACAAAAAAACAAAAAGACAAAAAAGGACAAAATAAGAAAAAAGCAGCCTGTGTTTCAAGCTAAATATATATAAATAAATATCAGATATCAAGCCAATATTTCTAAACAGTTTGCATCTATAGTTTCTGTGACTTGACAGAAAAGCTCATTTAGATTTTAAAATATGTCATAATTGTGTGAGTTCACCGTCCCACATGTAAAGACAATAAGATGCAGCGTAGCCTCACCTGACAGCCGCCTCACAGGAAAAGAGCACATTCAAGAGAAACCCACCTGGTATTTATACCTCCAGACCAAGAACCCGCTTCGGCAAAATAACAGCTTTTTCCACCGTCGCCTTTAAGCTGCTTGTGTCACCAGCAGGCGGTGAGTTCAGGTGTTTGTCTGCTTCAGCTGAGACACGTGAAAACACCTTTCTGCCTCCTGTTACAGCCACGACAAACGGTCCGATGTGTGTTTCATATCAAGGATCCCTGCTGAGGCCCGTCTCTTCATTTATGGTTCTGATCAATTACTTCTGTTTTCCTGCCCTCTGGACCTCCACCAGCACCCGTCTGAGGATTCACATCAGCCAGTTAGCGAGCCGTTCACACCAATCCTCCAGACCAGTGAACACGCTGACCAGAGCTCAGTCTCCACGCGGCGCCACTGACATGGAACCAGGACTTGTTGTGGGTTTGTTCGTCTCTTCTGGTCTACATGTGACCGGTTCTGCTGGGCTTCAGTCACAGACACACGTAACATCTGTCTTTTGGTAAATGCTGCAGTTCGCATTCAGTTTAAGTTTCGACTTTTGTGGAAATTCTAACAGACAAAAACCTTCAGAGAACCTCAGCAGCAGGTCAGTGTGAAGCGTTGTGTGGTTCTGGACCACGTTCAGGCTGTAGAACCCAACACCGTCATGAATGTGAGATGTTTGAAATATAAAAGGCCAATAACGTAATAAAAGTCCTGAACCGATGTCGTCATGACATCACATCATCGGTTCAGAACCTTTATGACGTTACCGGTCGGTCGGCTGTTACATCATCGGATCAGAACCTTTATGACGTTCCAGCCAGTTAATGGACTTGCTGCCTGCGTTTCCATGTCATTGTTTTTAAAGCAGTGTTTAGCAGCTGCTGGGCCACAGAGCTGTGGGGACGTGGTCTGGAAAGTTCTGATGTTGATTCAGTGGATTCAATAATTAGGATTAAGTTTAGAAAAAGGTGAATGCTGAAGAAGTACACACAGCATATATATCTAAGCTTCTCTGAGCGTCACCACGGGGCCAGTGGGACCAAACAGACATGATCACACCTGGCTGGTGACGTTCTCAACATGATGCTTGTGGCACATGAGCAGGATCTATACTGAGCCTGTAAACGCATGATGAGCATTTAAATGAAAGTTTAGATTTACTGTAGATCTACACGTCACACTGACATCTTCAGCTGCAGCATAAATCAGTGTGCAGGTCCCATGACTTTTGCTTTCTTTCTGGTGTATTTATTTATGTAAGGTTAAAAAAAGTGTCTGTGAATCCTATCAGCCTTCTGACCACCTGAACGCAGCCTGAAGCCCGGACGAGGGAAGCTGTCTGAGGAGAGCATCAACCAGGACTCTGTACTGATCCGTCATTCATTCGACTGTCTGTCAGATATTAAAGGTGTTCTCTCTGCTTTAGCTAATTTTATGTTTTACTTTTTCCTGCAAGTGATCCGGTTAAGTTTCCAAAGCACACGAGTTGATTTTCACACTGGACCCAGCAGCCTTGTGCCTCGGTACTGACGACAGCCGAGCAGGCCTCCTGCTGAACTCTGGCCCACATGGCTCGTGTTCTGATGACTGTCAGGCGATACAGACGTGTTGCTGGAGTGCAGAACTGTTACACACAAACGGAAACATAGAGTATCACCAACACGTCCTCACTCAGCGAGCCGTGTTCTCGTGGGAATGTCAGCGTGTGAGAGCGTCTTGCTACTTTCTGATTCCACAACATGCCATGCTGGCGTTCTGGTTCTACTGTAAATGATGCTGTGTTCTCAGAGCGTGTGAATTATTGACAGGCCAGTGATTCACTTCTTCCAGAGCTGCGATGTGCGAAGGCTTACTCAGCTGGTTCAGTCCAGAGTAGGGGTGAGTGCTTCTTTCAATATAGGTCAAATTCTACCTGAGTGACACATTTCAAACCAAACTGTACGACGATTCCTGAGGACTGAACCGTTTCTACACTGATACCTGTTGGACTGAACCTTCATGTGTGGATGCAGAGGCCTGTCCTCTCTACTGCTGACATCTGATTTCCAGATGCAGGATGTCTTTCAGGTGAAGTCTGAGGCGAGCACACATCGCTGCATATTTATCTTATATTTGTCTTTTAAATGGTTCAGCTACAGAACCTGTGTTGGACCTTCATACGTAACAACATGCATCATTTTTTTTTACCCTACACATGTGACAACCCAAAACAAGCCTATCACACTTATAATAACACCAAACATACATGCGGGAATTCATCGCCGCAGCTCTTGGTAAAGGGACTTTCCCAGTAAATCTGCACATCATCGTTGTGCATGCAAGCCTAACCCGGTCCTGGGTGAGCATCCAGGACCCGCTGACGGAGGATCTGACGCTCACAGCAGGCCTTAATGAGCCATGTTCTGCTCGGTGCGATCAGAGCTGTATTTGCATTAAAACGCAGAACGTACATTTCTAGGAAACGAGGCTGATGAAGTGATGTCACTGCTTTTAACTTGTAAATTCCTCTTTTTTTTTCCAGCTTGTGTTTTATTGTCAGGTTTGTTGTCTGTGTGATGACTCAACAGATAATCTGCTGGTTTGCTAGTTTAACTTGTGTGATCACATTTCTTGATCTGATCTAAACACACGGTTGGAGAAATGAACCAAGTTACCCGATAATCTCTCACAAACACGAGTTCGTCACAGCTGAGCTTCAGAACTGTCCAGATGTACCGGGTGAGTCGTGTTCTCTGCATTCTGGGGCTCCGGGTCGGGTTGTGCTTCGTACACCGCTGTACAAACTGAAAATTCATCATTTTGCACTTTTACACGGAGGTACAGTTTGTATGCAAATGATTGTTCTGTCGAGGCGACGCTCTGCCTTTCACATGTCAGACAGAAGAAGCATGTTTTTGTCTTGAGGAGAGGAAAACCACTGGAAAGCTCAGGTACTTTCAGACTGCTCGCTCCACCCAAACAACCTGATGCAGTTTACCACCGTGACCTGTATTCCATTACAGGAAATCCATCAGCTGCTCACCACTGAGTGTGATCAGCAGCAGCAGCATTCTGCCTCTGAGACCTGAACTCCAGCAGATCCATGGATTCACGGGACACCAACACTCGAGTCTTCCTGGTGACACATGGAGAGCTTGACAGTGAAATCCACGTCAGAGTTTGAACCGGAGGTTTCTTTTCAAACTGTCTGAGCCTGTTTCTGCGTCTGTTGTCAGCAGTGAGACCAAAACGTTGTCAGAGCGTTTTCCTGCTTTACAGCAGCATGAGGCTGTTGTTCTGGATGTGTGACTGTCTTCTGTATTTTCTATATGTTGATCTTACTTTATTCTATTTTACACCCTAATATCCTGTGCTGTCCTTTGCCTTGTCTGGCCCGTTGTCGAGTGGTTCTGGAACACCTGGACCTCCCTCTGCCATTAATAAAGTCTCTTTGCTGTGGACTTTTGTCACTGATGATCACTGAGTCGACACGATCTCCACAGTGAGTCTCGGCATTGCACTCGATAAACTGAAACCACGGTGTCTTTCCCTGTGATGTGTCAGGACCGGTTCTGGAGCTCGGATCACCAGTAAAACAGCAGTTTTTAACTTAACCGTACAGGTTTTATTTTTGAAGAATTGTCCTTTTAATGAAGAGTGAGTCATTATTCAGAATGCAATGAAAATCTGATTTCCTGATGTCTGAGCGGTTGTTCTGTGTAAACTCATGATTGTCATTTTCAGTATCAGCAACCTCAAATGGCGCACCAGTACCTGAGTAGAGAGGAAGCATTAAGCGGGGGAAAGCCCAGTACCAGCTCGATGACATTCTTACAGCCGTAAACAGCCTGTTCTCAGGTTATTTTTTGTGCTATAAAAGGTCACTTCAGCTAACAGAAGACACAGCGGAAGCCCGGGTCCCTCCACAGATAGGTGTTCTGCAGAACGTTCTGACATTATTATGAACCTCCTGAGCTGACGTGTTGCTGTGCAGCTCTGCTCTGTGTCAGGAAGACGAGCAGGTCCAACACGCTGAGAGAGAAAGCACATGATGGAGATGAAACCTGGTTACAAGAACTGAAGGAGCATAAAGAGACTGTGATCTGTAGTTCATATTTATGTTTTCACAACATTGTTCAGCTTGAATTTTGTTGTTTTTAGAAGACAAAAAGGCCGAATGTAGATTCAAATCAGTCTCACAACAACCGCTGACTGTCAGCGTGTTCAGAGCCGGACAACAAACAGCTGGCGTGAAAACCTGCACACGTCTGTCAATAACTGATGAGCTAAACTGAATTCAGATAAAAGAGTCTTTATAGGCATGTAAGGAGCCATGCTGCCTTTTCAGGCTCCTGGAAGCCAGAGCTCTGAGTTCAGGCTCTGTTTGTCCCCAACCTGAAGAAAACTGCGACACACAAATAAATGAGAGGTCTTATCCTCACATCTAGCCGGTCACTGGAGTGATGGAGAGAGCTGTATGTTCTGTACAGTTCACTGGTGTTAGCGTGTTTAAATGACTGTACGGGCAACAGCTACAGAGCAGCTCACAGTCACTACGCACAGCACAAAGAGAGTCTCTATAGAACATCATGGAGACATTATGAACACACCACGAAGCTGATTTTAAGATTACACAGCTTAAAGTTGGGCATCTGGTAGAATTAAGACTGCACAAATCATGTATGAAGCAAAAAGCAGACTGTAAGCATACAGACGGAGGGTTTAACTGTTGAAGGAAACAGAACCAGGAGCAGCTCGATGCTCGGACCAACTGAACCGTCTGTTTCCATTGGTGGGGGTTTGATGGAACGGGCTGCATGAATATGACGCAATTAAAAAATGTACAAAAGATTAAAGTACAGACATGAGGAAGGAGAACGTAGCCTGATGATGTTAATGGCGCTTGTTCATTTTGTTCTTTTTGTTCTTTTTGTGTGTTCTTGTTGTGTTCTGGTTCCTGAAACAGCTCGGTTGGAGTCGGGTTCTGGTGTGTTGCCTGTTTAGTTTAGTCAGGACCTGACCAGCCTGGGCTCGTCCTGTCCCTTTTCAAACGAGTCAGATGTGTTTTATATTGAAGTTGGCTTTTTA